GGCTAATCAGATGATATTGATTAATTATCTTTGTTCTCTCTTGTCTGTTGTCAACATGAAATTTTATCTAAGAAAATTTCCTTTTCTACCTTGTATGTGTTTGCCATTTTTTTTTGTTGTATTTTGTTCACTGTGTTTTTGGAAGGGTAGACTCCATTGTAACACTTTTCCTGAGCTGATAGTGCTTATCAGCCAAGCAGCATTGCTGTAATTGAAGTATGTTTATTATTGTGCTACCAAATTTCATGACTGCCCGACTCTTGCTTGCTTCTGTGATCAACCTGAATGAGTTTGAAAGTGCAGGTGTCCAGAACAGACCAAATGTGGTTGGTGCCATTGTGTCTGAGGTGCATTTTGGTTTTCCTCCTTTAACAGTGACCAATTTACAAAAGTATTTTCTTAGATGTTGTCATTTGTGTAACTGGTGTTTTTTTTTTCAACTCTTATTGTTGGAGGAATTTTGATAGTTGAAATTGTGTGGACCCTTTGAGTGAAATTCAGATCTTGTTGCAAAAAATGAGAGCTTTCCCACCTTAATAGAAGTGGGATGTCACTGTCGCTTCCAGTCTTGTATTGTACAGATTGATTCCTTGGCTTACTGTAAATGAGTGGTTTGCCGGTTTCAGCATCGGTTGACTATCTGTCTTTGGAACATGATGTATACTATAATAATTTGATCTGACTTCTGGCTCACCTGATTGCATCCCTACATTCCACAAGGCTCATCTTCCTGAAGATGTATTTGGACAAGTAACAAAGAGAGGAGCAACTATAAGTTATTTTAGAAGATTTTTCTCTAATTAGTATCTGCAACTTTTCAGAAATATCTCTTGAAAGCACTGCTTTCTTTGGAGCAGAGTAATCCTTTAAATAAAATGGATATATTAATGAAGTATTTCGGGTTTTTAATGTTTTATGAAGCACTTTGGGAACTATCCAGCTGTAAAAATATAATGATTAGTATTTATTTGTAAGTATTGATTAATGTAAAGGGGCAAAATAAATCTTAAAAGTGTGCATAACTTTATCATAAAGGTAAAATATGATGTTGTACATGAATGTTTCAGTTGCTTTGTATGTAATATGTGTACAAATTACATTTTCAGGAAGATACTTGGAAAATTCTACTTTTGGTCTCCTGGCTTTGGTGCTGCTTTACCTGCTTCTTATATGGCTATTCTCATCGAAAGGAAAAGCAGGTACAGTTTGTGTTTACGGATTTTCAGTTTTATATAATAATATTTCATGTTTTGGTTATGTGATGATTGACATTTGACCATTCAGTGGTTTTGTTCAGAATGCTGGAAATGTACTTCATTTGAAATAGTGTCTTTTGCAACTTTAGATTTAAATCTAGAAAGCTACAGTGAAATAACACTTTACGTGGTTTATGAGGCTTGTTTTTATTGTTTAATGTGTAGTTGGGTTGCTTAGGATTGCCTGGTGAAGTTAGATTTAGGATTTCCCGATGAAGCTGTGTGGTTTTTTGGTGTTTGAGTTTGTGTTTTTTTTTAAAGTATAATTTAAATAATATTTGCAATTAGTCACAGAGAAGGAGCATGCTACTGAAAGTTATTGATGACTTGAGTTATCAATGTGACATCAGTTAAAGTAGAAGAGTAGTAGGATGTAGTGGAAAAAAGAGACTGGAAGAACTGAAGTAATCCAAATTGGATGAAACATAACGATACAGAAAGCAATGGCTTTCACTTAAGGAAAGGTGCTGAAGTTCATCTGTCAATAGGAAATCCATTATGAAAGCATGAAGAGGGGTGAAGAGAGCTCGGGGTGATCCAAGGATAGCCGAGAGCTGCCATTTGTAATGTGAAATGAAAGGTGGCAGGTGAAATCCCGGGTTGTAAGGTTTTAGTGTTTTGAAATTCATCTTATATTGGTAGCTTGTATCAATGGTGAAAGTTACAATGCTTCATTACTTTAATACAGGATGAGATGCTATGGTCATCTAGTTAGTAGGTTTTGTTCAAAGTAGAGAACGTGACAAAAGGGTAATGTAAGGGATTACTCTTTAAAAGATGATGCGTACTAGAAATGATTTGAACACATCTTGGGTTACTATGAATATCTGAAACTTCCTTAAGCAGTCATTTCAAAGTAACTGCAAACACACATAGGCCACGTTGTTGGCTGCCTGTCAGGTCGCATTCCTAAGCTGCAGTGATGGAGTAAGCAAAGCCCAAGTTTTAGGTAAGATTGTCAAAGTTCCGTCCTTTTAAAAAAATGCTTTATCCATTGTTTTTGAAAATTGAGGATGTGTAAGAAGAGCTCCCACCTTTCCAGAACTTCTAAATCACTTTACTTAATGTAACTATAGAGAAAATAATTGGGAAAAAGTTACTAAATAAGTTAATTATCTCTTTAATGTCCTTTCTAGCTGACTGATTTTCATCTTACTGCAATTACTGCCTAAGAGGGTGGCTACAATTTGGTAGGACTTTGCCTAGTTAGGTAGACTCCAGCACTGCTGTTGGCATCGGTGGTTCATTTTGTGGTGAGAGCAAATGCATTTTCTCCCTTTTGATCAGTAACAGCACTAGCTTAACTTTTCCTGCAGACTTGTTACAATGTGAGGGTTTTGTGTGTTAGACTTGAAATATATCCAGGTAACATTGAAGGGAAGGAAATTGGGCTGGTTATCAATCTGAGTTTCTTGTAGCTTTCGGAGTATTTGTGAGTCAAGACTTGGAACTGCTTGTGAGCCCAAACTTGTACAAGGGTTGTTTTTTTTTTTTAACACTGGAACAACTTTGAAAAACTTGCAAACTTAAGCTTGTTAAGTGTAGCAAAAAGAGTAAGGCAAACAAATTTTATGTCAAATGGGGGTTTTTAGAAGTCTTAGTGGCGACGTATGGAAGCTTTGACATGTTAACAGGCTCCTATTTAGCATCTGAAATTTGAAAGAAAAAAAGTTGAGATAGAGGTGTGTGAAAATGGTGGAAGTAGGTTGGTACGGCATGTATATAATGAGTAATGCTGAAATACTTAAATCCTGGAAAGTTATTCTCCTTTCTGTCAGAATCCAAAATGTGTGACCTAAAGTATTTTGCCTAAAAAATTCGTATTACAGGTAAAATGTAAAAAGGCAACATTAATATTGCAATATAACACACGCCTGAAAATATGGGGTCATTGTTATTAATGAAAAAAATTGTTAAATGGCGTTCAAATGTAGTTGAAAGATTAGGTTTTTTTTAAAATACAAAGTTATTTGGTGTGTTATCAGATGCTAACTATGTATAATGTGTGAAATGCTGCTGCTGACAGGCTTAGCGAAATATGACTCTCTGATTTCACATCTGTTTGCTTGTTAGCTTCTGTTACAGGCATAATCAAATTTTAAGAGACTTGTAATCTCTTAGGAAACTGACATTTGACGTGGAAACACAGTGGCATTTTCAGTTGTATCCTGAGTAGCTTACCACAAATTGTATTGAAAAATCAGGGAGGTGGGAAAAAGTCCCGATTTGAGTTCATAAATCTATCTCTAGCCCTTTAAATTGCTACTAGCAGCTGGCAGCAACATCAAATTTAATCACTTAATCTCTTCCCAAGTGGATACCCTATTTTAAGTACCTCGCTGGCATTTGCTTGCACAGCATCCCTGTCAGTCCTGAACTGGGGAACAGCAGGCTTGTAAATCACATTTTCTTCTGAGTGTTGCTGTTTAGGTGTGCCAGTCTTGTACGTTTTATAATTGCTACGGAAGAATGGGAAAAAGAGATGGATAGCTTGGCTAGGTGCAAGATAATCTTGAGGAGGAGCACATTTTCTAATGTGTTACAGAACTAGTTTGATTATAGTTTGTATCTGTGTTATGTGTAATTGCAAATTTGCATAGCATTGGCAATGAGAAGGGGAGGTGACATTGCATAGAAACTTCAAAGTCGCTCAGGAAATGACATGCGTTATATTATGCCGCTACAGTTCTATAAAGATATAAACTGCATGTTAGTGTGTCCATGTGTATTCTATTTGGTGGTTATAAAATACGGTTATCCTGTCTATGAAAAATAGTTTATTAGGCTCTGTGGAAAGGGCCAAGGAATAAAAACGCTTGTAAACTCTTTTGTATATGATTCTATAAATGTTCTGTGAGATTACGGGAAGAGAACTATTCACATTATTATGATTAGTGTTTTGATAAGAAGTATCCTGGTTTCTAAATTGAAGAGACATGGATTTGACAAATGGACCACTCGGTGGATAAAGAACTGGCTGGACGGTCGCACCCAAAGAGTTGTGGTCAACGGCTCGATGTCCAAGTGGAAAGCAGTGACAAGTGGCGTTCCTCAGGGGTCGGTACTGGGACCTGTATTATTCAGCATTTTTGTTGCAGACATGGACAGTGGGGTCGAGTGCACCCTCAGCAAGTTTGCCGATGATACCAAGCTGTTTGGTGAGGTAGACATGCTGCAGGGGAGGGATGCCATCCAGAGGGACCTGGACAGGCTGGAGAGGTGGGCCCAAGCCAACCTCATGCAGTTCAACAAGGCCAAGTGCAAGGTCCTACATCTGGGTCGGGGCAATCCCAAGCACAAATACAGGCTCGGTGGGGAATGGCTGGAGAACAGCCCTGAGGAGAAGGACCTGGGGGTGCTGATTGACCAGAAGCTCAGCATGAGCCAGCAATGTGCAGTCGCAGCCCAGAAGGCCAACCACATCCTGGGCTGCATCAAAAGAAGTGTGGCCAGCAGGTCAAGGGAGGTGATTCTGCTCCTCTACTCTGCTCTCGTGAGACCCCACCTGGAGTACTGCATCCAGCTCTGGAGTCCTCAGCGTAAGAAAGACATGGACCTGCTGGAGCGTGTCCAGAGGAGAGCCACGAGGATGATCCGAGGGCTGGAGGACCTCTCCTATGAGGAGAGGCTGAGAGAGTTGGGGCTGTTCAGCCTGGAGAAGAGAAGGCTCCAGGGAGATCTTATAGCGGCCTTCTTGTACCTAAAGGGGGCCTACAGGAGAGCTGGGGAAGGACTTTTTACTAGGCCATGTAGATAGGATGAGGGGGAATGGCTATAAACTGAAAGAGGGCAGGTTTAGATGAAACATTAGGAAGAAGTTTTTCACTGTAAGGGTGGTGAGGCACTGGCACAGGTTGCCCAGAGAGGTTGTTGAGGCCCCATCCCTGGAGGTGTTCAAGGCCAGGCTGGACGTGGCCATGGGCAACTTGGTCTAGTGGGAGGTGTCCCTGCCCATGGCAGGGGGGTTGGAACTCGATGATCTTCAAGGTCCTTTCCAACCTAAACCATTCTATGATTCTATTTCTTAGGTAGTAATTGACTGTGGGGACATAAAGATGGAGATTACATGTTTGTGATGTGCATATTCATATTCTGTACCTTTAGTCCCTTACTCTTGTAGGAGTAACTCAGAATTTTTGCCTTTTTCTGGTACTCTCAAGCAGTGTGGTTTGCCTGTTAGGGTTGTGAGGAAGAATCCTCACTGGTCAGTGCAGAATTTGTAAGTGACAATCTGATGTCTGTTAGCCACGTCACTGGTATATGTTTGATGCTCTGAGAAGTGCTAAAAGAGCACAGAGTTAAATTTTGGCTGATTTTGACTGGTCATTATCTCATACTGTACAGATATTTTTAATAACTGTTAGCGTTAGTCCTGCCGTGTTATTTCTTTGTATTTATGGCTCTGGCAGAGCTGTTAAAAAATGAGAAATGAAACAATTAATACTGTAGGTGTTACTGGCGTGCTATGTGTTTTCACATGCAAAGAAAATATTCTTGCAAACAAGGAAAGTACTCCCTTTTCCTGGAGAAACAGGCATTGTTCATTAGAATGTACATTTTTCTAATTCCTTTTGATTATTTGGCTGTGACTTCAATATTTTAATTACTCTTTGTGTGTATATTATCATAATAACTATGGCTGTAATAAGTAAACTTCTAACAGGTGCACTTGCACAAGTATATTTAGAAGAACATAATTTTTTTTACACTTTCACCTTTTTTACATCTTCTGTTAAAGAAAAATGTGCAATTCTTTTGTCACAGAATTTAGTTTTGTAGTGTTAGGTGTTAAAAATTGTATTACTGTCTCCTCAAATACAGATATGACTCGGTTACATTAATTTTGTTAAGCTTCCTAAGGAAGTCATTACATGCATTACATTTTACTAACCTTTGTACGGGGTTGTTTTACCAATGTGCTCTTTGTTTACTCCTATAGGTGT